TTCTGAGTACAGGAAACTGAATATATAAAGAGATCAGTACAAACAGACAGACAGACAGACAGACAGATAGACACACACACAAAGTCAGGAAATCACCCATTAGTGCATATAAAGTAGCCCAGTCTTATACCTCAACTATAAAGTGTTGACAACTACTGGTATGGTGTTAGGACAAAGATGAATGTAAGGATCAGTGGTTAAAAAATAAGTGTGACACCCACAGAAGTTTGGACAGTATCCTGTGATACAGAAGCCAATGACAGATGCTATGGAAAGCAATATTGTGCTCTATGGGATCACAGCTGACTTGCAGCAACCAGTCAACAGATTTCTGTCGAGTGACTAGAAACAAAGGGCACAGGGTTCAAGGAGGAATGAAGCCAGGAACCAGCAGCTGCCACTTGCTACTCATTGTGATAGAGAAGGCTTCTGACTCCCTTCTGTTGATACTATGATCACGCTTCTCAAACATCTGCCAATCCTGCAAAACTCAGCCACGTACAACTATCGGCAAGGCGTCGGCTCCTCAGGCACTGTACAATATCTCCTTTATTCTACACCACTGTGCACCCTACTCCCATTAAACAGAGTTACTTATTTGACCTGTGTGTAGACAGGTGATGTTTTATCTCCTCTGAATGCCACAGCGTGGTACCAACACATGACCACTCTCCTGAGAGCTCATCATGGCTACCCTTCACTCTTGACACTTCTTGATGAAGACCCAGCAGAGTACTGAGAACTTCCCTCACATCCCAAGCAATTCAACCAAAACCCAAAGCTACAGGTGTACTTCACTAACAAAAGCCTTTCAGAGAATCCTGGGCTGCACTTCTTAGGAAGCCATCTTTCAACTACACTGTCTTCATAAAGCAATCTTTAAATGACACACTTTTCAGAGTGTGGGCTGATTTCATAAGTGAAGTTTAGTAACTTTTATAAGTCACCATTATCTTGTCTGCTTTAATGACTATTATACTGGCTTTCATTAAAACTAGTTTATTTGAAAACTTTTATTCCCCCATCTTATTGAATTATGTTGATTTAGTTCAAATAACGACATGGAAATTATCATGATCTATTTTACCAAACTAATGTTTTGAAGTGAAATACTTCCTTAAAGATTCTGTCCTAGATGACAGAGTTAATGAAGTGGAAAAGGAAATATTGAAAAAGCAAACCTGAGTGATGCAACAGTTTCATAGAAAAATGAATGCCTTGCTATTATATTTTATGTTCTATAATCTACTGTATTTTACAAATACACTTCCCTGTGTTAAAATTACACAACGATGTGAATACGGGCTAGGAAGGAAAATGAGAAACCAAGGAGGAAACCAAGGAGGGAAGTTCTCATCTAAGATTTTTACTTCACACAATTATCACCGTCCTCTGTAAAATATACACAAAGTGCCTCAGCTGTGAAACTGTGACAAAGTTGTCCAGAAGCAAACCAGGAGCGCCCAAGAAAAGCCACTAACTTGTCTCACTTCCCACTTCAGCAATCACATTTAGGCAGCGGGACTCTGTTACTCTACCTACTCATTCTCATCTTGCCCAGCCTTCCACATCCTTCCAAATAACCACATCTATTTGCATACATTACATTTGGGCTCACTGTTTCAAGTCTTATTCTTATATTGCTCTTTAAGAGCACAACTACCTGTCAAACTCGAATTAAATGCATGCAAATAGATGGATCCTACTTCTTCAACTTGAGAATGATTAGGAAGGGTGTCACTGGTTTAGTGGTTGGTTGACAGGTTTTGGGGGGAAGGTCTCATAATGTAGTGTAGCTAACTAGGAAGTTCTGATTCCCCTGTTTCAGCCAAGAGCTAGGGTTTCAAGCATGCCTGTGTTGCCCTTATGTTTTATGAAACTAAGACAAGACAGAAACTTCAAAGTCTACTGAATATTGGCAATTATAAAGGTTTCTTTGCTGAGAGAAGTAAGTTCTTCATTTATGGCAATTTGCAAATACTACGGTTCCTTAGCATCACACAAGCCAATAAAGGAACTGCTTCCAGAGTACAAACTTGTTCATGCATTAACTACTGATATTACTGTCTAACTGAAATGATTCAGAGAATCAACCTGATTTGTTTCATAGGCTATTAAATTACAAACCAAAATCAATACCCTTGCCAACATATCATATGAATGGCTGCAAACAAATCAGTCTTAATGGATTTTAAAAATTAATTTCCTGATATTCCATCATGTTCAAGTCACATTCCAGCCCACAAGGTAGACAAATCTTCTGTAATATAAAGGAGGAAGCTGGGCTACTGAAATGAGGTGACCCAAATTCCTACTCATAATGTAAACTGGAGATAGAGATTCAATCACAGTAGACTATCATCTTCTCCTTATGTAAATTTATTATGGCAGCAAATATGCAATCAGGCTAAGTAAGCTCCACTACTTTCAGTTTTGTTAAAAAAGATGTGTATTTTTAAAAAGGCTTTGAAAATGAACTCAGAATAAACATCTAACACTTAATATAAAGATTTGAAGATGAACTTACCATAAATTTTAGAATTCACATATATAAGCTACATCTAAAATGCCTACATTATAAATATATGTAAATAAACCAAATCTATTTATAAATTTAAAGAATATTAGTTATGATACATCATTGTGAATGATCAAGTTTTCAAAACCTTCGTGTGAATTTTATTCTAAACCAAACAGAAAGAAATATCATTCTCAGCAGAAAAATCTGCTGAGAAACAGCAATGCGTGGCACTAACTGGAACAAAGGTAACAGATAAAATTATTTCAAAACAATGTCAGAAAGAAAAAAAGGCACTTATGCACTTGAATTGACATAGAATACATTTCTACCTAGCTAGGCTGAGGTAGGGGGAAAAGATCAATGCAGCAAAAGCCATTTTTTCCGGTTTATTTTTTTTTTATTATAACTACATGCAAATAGCCGACAATCTGAAAAAGTAAAAAGAAATAACTCACAATTCTACCAGAAAGAACAGCTGACAGCATTTTATTATTTCTTTCCAATCTTCTTCCCAAGGCTTCTTAGAGGGAATAAATTCCACCTTGGAACATGTAGGCATTCTCATATTAAAAAGTTGATAGGTGCTTCGGGGGTTGACCGTTTGTGTAAGGGAATGTCATCTGACCTGGAGCCAATGTGCTACACTGGTTAAGACTGGCTTCAAAGAAATTTCACTGCAAGCATCATCAGGACCCTTTGCATAAGAGATTTTCAAAAATTAGGGAATTTACATCTCATATGATTTATGAATATTCAGATGCTTACCAAACTGGTCTTTATTTTACTAATTTAGTAACTAGGGATTAATAATTGCTTCCCCTTTGTAAAACTGCATATTATCATTTCATTTTCTTAATCTATGAAAGGAATGTATAGCCTCATATGAACAAGACAGAAAAGATAAAGGGATTAAATAACAAAATAAAATCTACCCAATTTTGAAGAAAAAAAAAGTCATGTCTTTTAATCATCCCTAGAATCATTTCTGTTTGTGTTGATCTCTATTGGTATTTACATAAGAAAGATGGAAGACAAATATATTGTTAAAATGTTGATTAAAATGATTCAAAGTCATTAAAAATAAGATAGTGTTGCATGTTATATTATAGTCTGGCCATGAAATATTCCAAAAGACAATGGTCTCCTATATAGCTGACTCTACTATTCAAAGATTTGTTTTAAATATGATGTACACATTTAGCCATCTAGAAATGTGCAAAGCACAGGAGTGTGCTGCTTAAATAGTCATATTCCTTTCTATATTAAGATAGACTCTATTCACTGTGCTTGGTTTGCTTTTGTTGGAAGAGGGATAACCATCTCACCTCGCTATGGGTTAAATGCATTGTTTACACAAACCATTTAGTCCTGGGCTTCCCACATACTAAGCTTCTATAAGCCATACAGATCTGTTTCCCCACCACTAAGAAGAAAACTCATGCATAGATGTGAAGACTTCAGAGGCTTCCAGACTCTAATATAGTAAGTGCTGACTGAAACCTGCCTGCCACTCATCTAAATACTTAGAAATGCAACTACAAAAGAGTACAGTTTACCAAGCATGTATTTCCCTTTGACATTACCCTCTCAGTATTTCCCTTTGACATCACGCTCTCCTGTGGCCGTCAAAGTTGCAGTTTCTCTTCAAAACAATCCCATGACCTTGGGCATGCACTTTACTGACAAAAATGTCCACTCAGCGGAAAGCTGGACTTACAGATGAAAATGTACTTTAAAAAACAAACAACAACAACAAAACCCTCTTCCTAGCAGTAACAACACAATCCTTATCTTTCTTCATTGCATGCAATGAGGAAAGCAACGGAAAATGTGTTCAACTAATGCCAAACAAAATGTGGTTTGCTGCCTGAAAAAGCAAGACTAAAAAGTTCAGTCCTGTATTCTCTTTCCATTGTGATGATTTATCAACCAACAGTTTTGCCCCCTTCTGGAAAAGGTTTTCCGAGGACTGTAGATGGGAAAAAAGCTTTGTCACTTTCTGGAAAAGTTTGTCCTTTTGGTAGTGGACCCCTCTTGGTCACTTCTGTGTTTGATCAAGTCAATCTACAATTCACGGTCCTGGTCCTCAATTAACCGGCAGGTGCTCTAAAGAACGAATTACAATTGCAAGCCTCTAAAGATCACTGCAATCTGCTTCGTTCGCTTTATAACCTGGGGGCTCTCCCTAAGAACAGTAATCACTACCTGTCTTTAATAAATTCAAGATGCTTTTTAATTTGCTCCCTACTCCATCAGTCCAGAAGGAGACAGCAAAGAGGCCTCTCTGGCGGGGTCTTATGTCCCTCTTTTGAGAGAAATGAATGGCCTCGAGGAAAAGTAACGAGGCGCAAACTTGAGACACCGGGCGGCAGAGCCCCCTTTGGCACATCGAGTGTGGTGTCGCTGCATCTCCGGGTGCGTCCGCAGGTTCCAACAGCCAGGAGCCTCGGGAGGCCAGCCCGCGCTGGCCACTACTCACCTTGTTGGGCTCCAGCGTCCTGGAGCAGCAGGAGCAGCAGCAGAAGCCAAGGCCTGGAGGAGGAGTTGCGGCCAGGAGGGAGGGGACAGCAGCCTGAGCTGTGTAGCGCGGCCCGGCCGGTTGAGGCGGGCGCGGCCTGGCCTCGGGGACCCTGCGGACCGTACGCGGCTCTCAGCGGAGCCCGGCTCGCCATCGCGGCGGCCGGCAATCCGCCCGCATAGTGCGCGCGCCGCGGAGCCCCGCGCGCCCGGGGCCCGCAGCACCCGGCGAGGACCCGGCGGCAGCGCAGCGCGCCTCGACCCCCTCCGCCCTGCTTCCCGCGCCCGCTGCCGGCTGCTCGCGTCGCTTCACTGTGCTTCCCGTCCCAAGACCCCCAGCCGGAGCGCGGCGGACCGAGGCTAGGACCGTGGCCGAGCTGGGACGTGCTCCCGCCGCGCTCGTAGCTGGACCGGCTCGCGGGCAGGCCAGCCCCACTCGCTCGCCCACCCTCTCGAGAGCGCCGGCCACGCCTCCCCGGCCCGTCGAGACCAATGAGCGGCCAGCTCTGGTCCAGCTCCTTCCCTACCGCCCAATCAGCAAGCTCTCTGGTCGGTCGACCTGTTAGCTCCTCGCCTGGAGCGCCACCGCCCCTCATCCGCCTTGACCAATCGCCTTAGAGCTCTGAGAGCGTCCCACCCGCCTCCCTCGATCCGGGTCCGCCCCCAAGCCGCGGTCGGTCGGGAGTGGTCTCCGCCCCGTTGGAGAGCTTGCAGTTTTTGGGACCACTGCCCAAAGTGAACCCGCCGAGACTCTCTGGTCACTGACTTCCGGGACTTCCCCATCCCGCGCTCTCCCGTTTCCCAGAGCCAACTTGCTCATGGCTCCTCCCCCGTCGCACATCAGGCCACTGGAAGGGGTGGGATGCTGGATGCTGGAAGAGTTCAGCTGGGAGCCAGCAGTCTTTAAGGGACTGTTTCAAACGGCCGAGTGTGTTTCCCTTCATTAAAACTGCAGTCAGTTGCAGCAACATCTCCGCGTGCAATTATAGACACGATGTTCACTTTTTAAAAGAAAAAAATATTTTCTACGACCTTTAATGTAGAGGTCTTGGGGAGGGGGGCAAAAATAAGACCCATGCTGCTAAGACAATTTAAGTCTAACATCTAAACGTTGATATAGTTACACTACCAAGTTTTTGAGTGCCTGCTGTGGATCTGCAAAAACTATCCTCAAAGAAGTCCCCGTAGTTACAGCCACCTTACAGAAAAATTGCAGATTCTGGAATGGGGAAGAAATGTTAACACATTTTGAAAGTCAGAACGACAGAAGTACAAATTAGAATAATAGGCAATCAGATGGAGGCTGTGGGCAAGTATGTGCTTCGATTCCCTGTCCCAGTGCTCGACTGACAAGCCCTACTTTCTGGGCAGCTGGGAGTGTTCAAGGCTAAACAACTTGCTCTAAGCATACTGATCCATTAAAATGCACTCTTGCTTGAATCACAGTATTTTCAAGTTATGGTGGGTTTATCAAATGTGACTTCATCGCAAACCGAGAAGCATCTATACTGGGATACAAAGCCAGGGAAATAGCCCTTGCTGCCAATCCTGATGACCTGAGTTCAATCCCGGGGACTCACATGGCCGGAGGAGAGAACTGACTGCTACAAGTTGTCTACCATCCTCCAGATGTGGATCGTGGAACATTCCCTCTGCCCCCCCCAATAACTGAAAAAATAAATACATGTTTTTGTTTTTTAAGAAAAAAGTGATATGCATACTCAACCAATAGTGAGGCTATGTAACAAGCATGTTGTGTAAATGTAAAGTTCAAAAACTTAGAAATCGAGTCTGGAATTCACGAATACACATGTTAGTCATAAACATGTAAACGAATGGCATTTTTAAAAGAAGATCTGAGAGTTGAAAAGGACTCCAGAGGCCATCTTTTTCAAGTTTTTGCATATTTCTCACACATTTATTGGGTATCGAAGAAACCCCAGACCCAGTATGGGCACTGGCCAGGCAAAATTGAATGAGAGAAGCTTACATTCCAGTGGACAAGGCAAATGTTTAAACAAATCCATTGTCAACAGTGCCAACTTGAAGGTGTGGACTGGTAGACCCAACATCATGACCCACCCTGGAAAACAGCCAGTGCTAAGCCAAGGCTTTTAGTGATATACAGTGCCCCTCACTTGATGGACAACCCCTTCCATATGGCCATTTAATGGTAACCATGAACCACAGAGTGGACACAGCAAAGAATTTGAAGCTTCTGACTAGTATTCCTTCAACTACACGAGCTGCGACAGAAGCAGAGTGAACTACCACAAGTACAGAAACCTGTCTAGAAAAGATAACCTGTCTCCTGCCTCTAGAGAATGCAGCCCGAGAAGATTCCCTGTTTCTTATTAATAAACACCCCTAAAGCAAGAAAGGGGAGTGTGCACATTTCCTCTGTGTTTAGTATTTTTTTAAAAAAGAGTTCTCAAAGTAGAGGATAACATGGTGAAAGGTTCTAGAGGACAGGACAGGGAAAGAAAGAGGAGAAACCAGTGTCTGGAAAATAACACTATCTGTCTGTTTTTGTTTGTTTGTTTTGTATTCATTTATGCTTTAGCTTCCTGAGTTTTGTTTTGGAGGTTTGGCAGGATAACAGCTGTAGAGCATCCCTCTGCTGCCCAAACATGGGAAGTCATTGGTGGAACAGTCATGTGAGAGATTACTGCTCCACTTCTTGTCTGTTATACAAGCAGCTTCCAAAGGCTACTATGAGATAATGAGATTTTTTTTCTTAGGAGCCCCCCCATAAAGTCATATGTCAGGCATTCATTTCTAGAACAATAACTGCCTGGTCTATATGCCCTCTCCCACCCTCCCCATACTTTAATCAAACTTATCATTTCCTTTGCCTCTGAGACTCAGCTGCCTTGCAGGATGACATCTGCTGAGGCAATGGGAATAAAGTTTCTCTATAGATTGGCACCCGCTGAGGTTGTAGGACGCTTTTGCTCATGAGACTCCCTATATTGGACCAGGACTGAATTGGTGATTCTGAAAATCAGGACCCCAAAGTGAACAGGTTTGTAGAATGCTGCCATTCTAAGAGTCATAGCTAGAAGCTAAGGTGTGTCCCCTAGACAACTATGGCCCTTCAGCTTTTCCTATAGAATCTCAAAAAGGTGCAGAACAAGAGCACAAACCCAAACTGAGTAGAGACTTCATTACACATGAGTTCCTGGACATGAGCTGGAAGCTGCTGCCATCACAGTTGTCTCCTCTGGCTGGTAAATGAAAACGCTTTGAATATGGCTCTGGGGAAGATTGGGATTTGAGGAAAACACCACACAGGACAGTTGGATAGGAAATACTGGGAACTACAGTATCATTTTAATGCCTATTTACTCCATGGGAAGACATTTAAAAGTAGAAACAGGTTGCCAATGCGAATTTTAATGCACAAGATCTTCTCCCTAATGTCTTTTTTCTTCCTGTTTTGTTCTCATTCTTGCTTTTCTTTCATCTTCTCCTAGTCAATACAAAGAAACAGGAATTAACATACAGAGAAAAAGAAATATGAAGAGTCACACCCCACAATTCCATCTAGTAAATGAGCTCAGGAAACGAGAAGGGAGGGAAAGCCCCTGGGGCTGGCGGCCTATGCTCCTGTCACTGCAGACATCTGGGTTTTAATGACATGATATGGTAAGAACCATTTGGCACCATCATTGCTGTTAAATGTCTTTCAAGCATTAATAAAACATAAGAGACTTGCTTAAAATGGCATTTCTACTGGAAACCTTACGGTGAGGGTATGTAATGAATCACTGGTGAGCTTTATCAGTGGCTGTGTTTTTGGCAGGATAGCTGAAAGGGGGTGGTGGAGAAGGAGAATTTGCCTTTGTGATCTTCCCCTGAGGTCAGAGAGAAAGAAGCTGATTGCTGTTTGAGGGAAATATTTCAAACTTCAAAGACTGGAGGCCTAAGATCTGGTTGCCGTTCTCACAGGAGTGTTTTCTTTGTCCTGTGGACTGTCGGGACAAATGTTTATAGCCATGTTTGTTGCTGAGTGTTTGAATTCTGCTAATGATCCCTTCTGTTCACAGAAGTGGTTTGGATGAATCCTTTCCTTTTTTTTTTTTTTTTTTTTTTTTTTTTTTTTTTGTCTTTTCGGATAATGTTCTCAGATTTTCTTAACATTTATCAACTATTGCAAAAGAATGCTTGTTATCAAAAATTGAAGGCAGAAGTGTTCATTATATTTATGATAGAAGGTGCTTAGTTCCTACAAGCAGGCTATGAATTATAGCTTTTTTTCTTGTAGGATTAACATCAACAACGTCAGTGACTACTTTGGTTCCTTTCTACTATGTTTCCACTTACTGCAACTATCTCTCTCCCTTTCCATTGTCCTTCTTCACCATATTCTTACTCCTTTTGCTTTTCTAGGAATATAAGCAATTTGGGATTGAGAGTGTAGCTCAGTTGTAGAGTATTTGCCTAGTATACAGAAGATCCCGGGATTAGTTTTTTGCACCAAAGGTAAAATAAGTAAATAAAATTAACTGGTTAATTCTGTCTGGTTCAGAACAAGAAGCTTTGACTCTGTTGTTTATCTCTGATGGAGTCTTCAAAAGAATTTAGTGAGAGCATGAGAAAATTGCCTAGAAATGAGAGAATTAATTATACATGAATGGTTAACATATCACTTAAATACAAATACTGAAAACAGCCGAGTGCCTGAGATAATGTGCTTTAGAAGTGTAGCAGCCGCATGCTGCAATGGTTTTTATGCTGTGTTTTCCTGTAGAGATGTTTGCTGGGAATGGTTAAGAGTTAAAGTATAGAACTGAGCTGGGAATGGTTAAGAGTTAAAGTATAGAACTGAGATGCTATTTAGCATCTCATAACATCATGCAAACATCCCTGGATACGGGGCATGCACTGAACTCCTATTGAAAGTGAACTTTACTCATCTGCAAGGCTCAGACCACATATAAATTTAAAGATGAATAATTCTCTATTTTCATTGTCTGCCTCCCTCATCTTCTTCCCTGCTCTATCCCCCTCATCCTTTCTTCTCCCTTGTGTGTTCATCTGTGTATTTATGTGTGTGGATGTGGTGGTGTATGCCATGGTATGCAAATAGAATTCAAAGGCTTACATTGGGTGTCAGTCCTCCCTTTCCACCTCAAGTGGTTTGATATACAAAGTTTCTTGTTTGCTATTTTGTACTCCCATTTAGCTAACCAATAGCCTCTGGAGATTCTGCCTCCACCCCCTGCCTGAATCTCCATAGGAACATTGGAGTTATAAATGTGTGCTGCTTTATCCAGCTTTAAATGTGTTCTGGAGATCTAAACTCAGAACTTCCAATTTGTGTGTGGTATATGCTCCACCCACTGGGCCATCTCCCCAGTCCTGCTTTCTTTTATCTCTTGAATAAATTTCTAAGCCCTCCATTTCCAAATTGCTGCACATCGTGGGAAAGGGAGAAAATAAAGCCGATGAATACAGAATCGGTTTCTGGGAAATGTTTATTCTGAACAGAAATTTAGCTCTAGGGGGTGCTTGAACTCTCAAACTAACTAACTTCATATCAGCCATGTTTGCATGGATGGGCTAAAGGAATAGCCACCGTTTTGTCCCATCGGAGAAGCAAACAGGG